GATCCATCCTAAAAAATTAAAAAGGTAATAATTTAGTTTCAAATGTTTAAAAATTAAAAAAATTAGTAAATTAAAAATAATTAGTGAATGTTTTTTTCATGTACATAATAACAATATTAGATATTTAAAATAAAATTGAGTGATTAGCTCAATCTAAAAAAAAAAAATTTGACTGAGACTAAGGAAATTTTTTTAACTATAGTCTTTTAGTCTCTTAGAATTTTTATTTTGACTCAGTTAAAAAGTTTTCTTTAATCTCAGTTAGAATTCCTTTTTTAAATTGAAGTAATCATTTAATTTATTATAGATATCTAATATTATTCTAGTATATGTAGAAAATTAATTTGTTAATTTTTTTAATTTACTAATTTTTTTAAATTTTAACTTTTGAAACTAAATTATTACATTTTTTATTTTTGAGAACTGATCTTGTAAATATTATATTTTTACTTTAAAAGAGAATTAACATTAGTCAAGTCAAGGACTAAAATCTTCAAACTTTTAAATTTAAAGATTAAAAACTTCATAATATAAACAGAGGGGTTAAAAGTTCAAAACTTAATAAAGTAAGAAGTTAAATGTATGGTTTAGCCCTCTACTTGTACCAACAACACAATTTTGAATGATCTTACATTCCGAGACATAAAGCTGTCTTGTAAAATGTTGAATCAAAATCTAAATCAGCTTTTTAGGGTTGTGATGTGTCATATCTTTGTACTTCTTATCTTATTTAAAAAAAAAAAAAATCTAAAACAACTTTATATATTCCAGGTAGCATGGTAGCCCTAATGGTTTTAGGAAGGTTAAATTTTCATTTTGGTCTTTTATTTTAATAAAAAGCTTTTTTTAGTTTTTCTACTTAAAAATTTCTTTTTAGTCATAAAGTTTGAAATTCGATCATTTTTTAATTTTTTTATTAAGTTTTGTATATGTGACATATTAGATGACAAAATTTAAAGTAAAAGTACTTAAATAGCCCTTTTTTTTGTCCCTCTACTTAAAAAAAACCCTTTTCTAGTTTCTTTTATTTTGGAATTTTCATTAAAATAATGTGTTATAGGATAAAAAACTTAATGGAGGGACTAAAAAGGAATCAATATCAAATTTTAGGGAAAAAAAGAGTTTTTTTAAGTAAAGGGATTAAAAAGAGATTTTTTACTAAAATAGATGGTTCAAATTGGAATTTTAACCTTTTAGGAATGGTTCAACCAATCTAACAAGGAAGAAAGGACAAAAGTTGTTAGTAGCATTTATCAGCTTCTTCAGGGATGTTTATCTTATGATTTCTGTTCTAGTGTATAATGTGGAAGGGAGAAAAAAAGGGAGAAAACCGAGAAATATAAGAAGTAAACATAATCAAACATCCTTTCTGATTTCTCCAAAGAAAACTTATATCATTGATTATAAATTATGTTTGGTACCTAGTTCAAACTTCTGTTGTGGTTCCGTTTAATAGTCCTAGATGTAAACATTGATTAAATAACTTAGTTTATAATTTGGATTATTTTGATCTGTATAGTTTTAATTATTAGATGGATCCTAATATTAGAGCCTCTCTTCACACTTCTCAGCCCAAAAATTCAAGGTTGTAAAAAACATATCTAAGCGTTACACAGTATTATTCTACCCAAATCAATCTCTAGGCAAAAATTTAATATAGGCTGCATCACTTAGATGAATAAGCACACCCAAGTGCTATTATTAGATACACTTAATGCTGCTTGAGCAATTTATCTTTTTTTTTTAATTTAATGAAATAATGTTATTTAATTTATTATAAAAAAAATAAAAAAACCTTATATGTCAATAATTCTCTTAAATTTTACTTTTCATACCAGATAATAAATAAAAAATTTTAATTTTTTATTTTGTAAATTTTAAAATTATTGCACCTTTTTTTCCTTTTTTTAGAATTATATTAAAAAATTGTTAAAAAAAAACCACTTAGCACTTCCCAGTTCCCACACACGAAACACGATAGACTCTAAGCAATTCCCAACCGCCTAACCACCACCGCCGAGCGGTTTCTTAACCCTTGCAGAAGTTATTGTCTGACTGTCAAAGACGGAAAGTATAACTTAATCCCTGATTGGAATTAGGAAAAGACAGAAAGTATAACTTAATCCTTGATTAGAATTAGGAAAAATGGGATTACCTTTCATTCTACTTCTCCTCCATGAAAACCCAACACCGCCTTCAACTTTGATGGGTGAATCAGGGATTCCATGGCCGTTTTCCTTACTCAATGGTATGTAAACTGAGTGTGGCTCACGATTTAACGATTTGTATACAATTATGGATTGCTTTGAAGTAGATTTTCCGGCGTCAATGGGAAGACGGGGAGGACGAAGAGGGTTTAAAGTGGTGGCGGAGGTAATCCAAAGCTGTCTGCCGGCTGTACAGATGAATTGGGTACCTGCCAGCTGGGGTTGGGTTAACCCCAGACGCCGCCAGCCGTTTCGATAAGAGTCGTGTGCGAAGTAGGTGAGGCAAACCATGACGCGTCCGACGTTAGGAAGCTCCTTGGGAATTGGATCACTATCTCCATTTAGTATCCAATTTCTGGGTTGTTTCGCGGAGGATCTTAATTCTTCTCACTTTCCCATTTCGAGTTGTTTATCCACTCCAATTCCAAGTCTTTTCGGGGGACTAACAAAGCTCTTTCACAGTCTACTAACACTTTCACACTTGTTGACCTCCAGAATCATATTTAGCAACATGGTACAATAACAAAGTTCCATTCCATTCATCTCTATAGTCTCGAGATCATATTCTCCAACTGCTGTGGTTATAGATTCAGAAGGTAAAATGCTTCTCCCTCTGCTCATTTTTAGATAAAATGCATTTTTCAAATCATGCACTTATATATAAGAAGATAGTTTCAATGGTTATAATTCATATGGTGTTTGTGTTATGCTTTGTAGGGCTAATCTAGTTTGTTATATAACAGCCATGCCAGGTTTTCTTGATTTTGATCATCTAAAATTAATTGTTTGAGTGCCTTAGTATCCCCAAATGGCATGTGCCAGATCTCTTATTAAAATTGTTTGTGTTAGGTTTTGGTTAATTGTTGAAAGATTAAAAGATTGAGGGAGTATCTATCTATCTATTAAAAGTTCCTTTGTTTTCTTTAATTTCAGAGTTTTGTGGTCTGAGAAAGTAGCAATCAGAAGATGTGGAATTGTTTTTCCAACGTTTTGAGTTTTGAATGAAGTGTATGAGCCTATTTTGATTTCTTATGAAGAGCATAGATATTTCAGCAAGTGGATTTGTTTACCTAGTTCTGCTGATATTTTCATGCCAAACCTTGATATTCCCTTGTGCAGCAAAAGACACCCTTTCATTTGGGCAATATCTCACCAACTCTGAAACAATTGTTTCAGAGAGTGAAGTGTTTGAACTGGGATTCTTTTCCCCTGGGAATTCAACCATTTACTACTTAGGAATATGGTATAAGAAAGTCAAGGAGCAAACTGTTGTATGGGTGGCAAACCGAGACTTTTCATTTTTCACTTCTTCTGCAGCTCTTACAGTTACTGATGATGGTAACCTTGTGATTTTGGAGGGCAAGATATCTTACAGGGTGACAAATATATCACTGTATAAGAATGTCACTGCTACACTTTTGGATACTGGAAATCTTGTTCTGAGAGATGAAAACTTGAATATCTTATGGCAGAGCTTTGACTTCCCTTCTCATACATTCTTGCCTGGAATGAAGCTTGGGTATGATAAAAGTTCAGGAAGAAATTGGTCATATGTGTCTTGGAAAAGTCCTGAAGATCCTAGTCCTGGAAATTTCACCTTGGTGTGGGATGCAGAGACAAGTGCGATGATAGTCATGAATGGTTTACAAATTTATTGGAAGTCTGGGGCTTGGAATGGCCAGATTTTTAGCTTGATGCCTGAATTGATCAGGTTAAATTACTATTATAATTTCACCTATGATTCTGATGGGAAAATGACTTATGTCACCTATGATCTCTATGATAAAAGTGTTATTTCTACACATGTAGTGGATATATCAGGCCAATTGAGACAATTATCGTGGCTAGAAAGTTCAAAACAATGGAATCTCTCTTGGTCACAACCAAGACAACAATGCGATGCTTATGCATTTTGTGGGGCATTTGGGATCTGCAATGTGACGTCTTTACATTTTTGTAATTGCTTACCAGGATTTGAACCACACTTTGAGGAGCAATGGGGTCAATTTAACTATTCTGGAGGGTGTACAAGGAAAACTGGCTTGCAGTGTAGCTATAACAGTAATTTCAAGGGTCTAGGAGATAGATTTATTAAGCTGACCAAAGTGAGACTGCCAGACAGTCCACAGGCAGTAGTAGTTCCGAGCATTGATGCCTGCAGGTTATCTTGCTTGAATAACTGCTCATGTGTCGCTTATTCTTATTTTGGGGGTAATTGTACAGTCTGGGGCAAGGATCTCATGAATATGGCAACACTGTTGGATACTGACACTCTTGGGAGAGATTTTTATCTCAAACTTGTTGCTGCTGAATTGGATACTGAAAGTAAGAGTCCTAGAATAGTCTCTTTTCACTGTTAGATTACTGAGGTATATTTTGACAAAATTTTCAAAAATGATTTCATCATAACGGTATTTCATTTGATGGGTGATTGCAGATACAAATGCAAAATACAGAAGGATAATCCTCTGGATATTCGTGCTGCTTGTTTCTCTGGAATTGCTTTATAGGGTAGCAATGCGCATTGTTCGAGTGCTGAAGGACAAACACAAAAGTAGAGGTCTGAAATCTTTATGATTTTATATATCTGTTGATGAAGCAAGTTAGTTTTGTTTTCTTTTAGGGTCATTTTTGAATCAATCTGCCAGTTAGCTTTTGCACTAAAATCCAATTAAGTTCAACTATATGCACTTGTTCTGATGGCTATTTCCTGCTCTTTAATTATCAAGAAGGGGAGGACTTGTTATCATTTGAGTTCAGCATTAGTCCAGGAACCACCAAGCATGATGTGACTGAACCAAAAAAGCCCAGGAAAGATAAGAAGGAAGTGGAGATTCCTCTATTCAATTTTTCTAGTGTATCTGCTGCTACCAATAACTTCTCTGCCGCAAATAAACTTGGAGAGGGTGGGTTTGGACCTGTATACAAGGTAAGCTGGAAACACTGAAGATTTCAAATGAATGTGAGAAGCTTGTTTGAGTAAACCTTGCTAAATAGGGGGTTACTGATATACACCTACAATTTTACCATGAGGGGTATGAGGAATGGAATATTTTATGCCTTGAGGAGAAACTAAACAATGTGTAATTTCAGGGAAAATTATTAAATGGACATGAGGTAGCTGTAAAAAGGCTTTCAAGAAGTTCTGGTCAAGGATGGGATGAATTAAAAAATGAGGCAATGCTTATAGCCAAACTTCAACACAAGAATCTTGTGAAACTTCTTGGTTGCTGCATTGAAGGAGATGAAAAGATACTTATCTATGAGTATTTGCCGAATAAAAGCCTGGATTTTTTCCTCTTTGGTATTTAACTTTCCTACTCTTCAATTACATATGAAAACCTTTACTTCATTGTTATGTTCCATTTATAGTTAAACAGTTGCCTATAGTTTAAAATTTAATTGGTGTACTCTATTGTCTATTCCTCTAATTAAAATCAAAACAGGTTCAACCAAGCATACTGTACTTGATTGGAGAACTCGCGTTAGCATCATTGAAGGGATTGCTCAAGGTCTACTTTACCTCCACTGCTTCTCTAGGTTACAAATTATTCATAGGGATTTGAAAGCCAGCAATATTTTGTTGGATAAAGGAATGAATCCTAAAATTTCAGACTTTGGAATGGCAAGAATTTTTGCAGGAAATG